TACCATGGCACTGCAGTCTCTGAAGTTGCACTCCTCTCTGTGATCTAAGAAAAACTGTAGGTAACACACATACACACACACAGGCATATATAAACATTTATATGGGGACAAATGTAAAATGATAGAGATGAACGATTATTTAGTTTATAAAGTACAAATTTAAGTAACGTAACTGATTAGAATGGCTTAATACAAATTTTCTTCATCGACAATCCCACTCTAGTTGTGATTCGGTAGCTAGCTGACTTGCCTTTAGGGTTAAGTCTTCCCTGTGATCCACTGGAACCCGTAATTGTGAAGTAATGCTAGCGTATCAAAAAATTTACCCTCCAGACCAGAGCGAATGCGAAAACCTTTTGAAAGGCAAGGCTAAACCTCAATAGCCTCCTCGAGTCATTATAGAATATTTAATTATCATTCAACACATACGATCCCGAGCTTGTAGTAATGATATATTGTTAGTATCGAAGCCCAATAACTCTGACTATAAATTTTAATTCGTCTGTATCTTTATCCCCCCCTGCAATTGCAACTTGCTCCTTTATGGACAAGTGATCGTCTTTTTGTAGATGGATTATTTAATTCTATCTAGTTGTTTCTATGTTTTTGGATTAATGACATGCATTCTTAAAACATGAATGGGGCAATAGGCGAAACTGTTTACAGTTAGAGTAAAGTGAGAAAAGTTCAAATTTTCTCAATGTGGCGGCCATTTAGGCCAGTATACTTTGAGAAAAGTCACCCTGTTCTGATAAATTTAAGTATTTTGCACATCCGATTACCTTTTAAGTACCGGATCGTCCCTTTTCAAGTCAAGCCTAAGTGACACCACTTTTTGCCCCATTTGAAAATTGCAGAAGTTGAACGCTAACAAAAACTGTAAATAAGAACTGTGAAATAATTGTGTTAAAATGTTCAGAATTTGGCTTGCCAAAGGTGAATTAAGGTGATGCAATAAATGTTAGTTGAAATTCCTCCAATGAAACACTTCTTTTTTGCCTGGCCTGCCAAGATACTGACTCATTCAGGATGAATAGCAGATTACACCTCGCTGTGGTCCCATTACCTCTGCGGCACAGCCACGGAAGTAAATTGGTTATGGAGCAGAGATGACCTTCAAGGCAAGACTGACTTCATGTATATAACATCTTTATATTGGAATTGCAGATTAACCACATATGTATATGCCATTTTAATTGACGACATTAATACGTACAGCGTAGGTTTGCCTCGAGAATTTGTAAAGAGGTTAAGTAAGAACTTAGATTACTTATTCGGTAATTTGTAGTGTCATCATTAAAAATCAAACAAGTACAAAAGTATCTGGCAAAGGTCTGGCTTGCCCTGTTACCTAATGGCACCCATAGTATTGTGACTGAGTGGAAAAGTGTTGCCAGTTTACGCTACTAAGGGGGTTGATAAAACCTAGGTAAAGTGGGAACTCTAGTCCAGCCTGGATTGGAAAGCATTTCAGAAGGCAAAGGAGAGTGAAATTTATTAAAACCATTGTGGGAAATTAGATCACCAATACTTACATCACTATAAGTAATTTAATCTTGCTCACAGGGAAGATGTGCATTTCAAGGGAAATGCAATGAAAACTTCAGCTCTACTCCTGTCATTGTAAGAAAATTCTACTACAAGTCCTTCATCACCTTAAACGAAATAGGGTGAATACTTATCATATAAGTGATATGGTAGTAGTAGTCTCGAGACTCTACTTATACGAAAAATATTTTACTCAATTATATCTTTGCGTAATACTTGAAATTCATTGAACGAAAGTACATTGCATTTAATTCACTTTCACTTTGAAAGTCTCAAATAAAATTTTAGACTTTCTTTGTATCAAAGTTTGATTTATTCATTTTCAGTACATAACTGTGGATTTAAAAATGGCTCAATCACATCAACGGGCTGCAAGACTGGCTCACCCAAGGCAGGCAAATCGAGCCTTTGCGTTCCAAGGCGACCAGCTGTAGACCAATCGAGAGGGCCTCAGAAGAGCTTTCAGTTTCCAGGACCCAGCTGGTCCTGTTCAATGCTCTGGTGATGCCCAGCAAGACGGCGTGATTTGGTCCCCAACGGGGCAGTAGACCCTTGCCAAAGAGCCCAACTCGACCCATTGGATTGAGTGGCAGGCCCGGTGGTTGGGAAAAACCTGCATCGGCTGGAGCTTGACCAGACTTGACTCCGGATCCAGTTCCCCACCCAGTTACGGTCCCTTCATCAACCTGATGCCGGCTGCTGCTTAACATTTTGACCATATCATGGTTTGATTTACTAATGCTGGGTGAAAAAATAAAATTACTAATTACATTTAAGAGCCTGGTATTCACTTTTTCTGTTACAATTAAAATGATTGTAAATCATATCACAACCTTTATAGGAATATTAGCGCATCAAGAATATCTAACGTCATGTGACGAAAGAAATCTCAGCCGGTTTTCACCCGAAACGTTGTGGGATGTCTCGTGGACTGCATCTACCTGAACGTCGTATCAATGCCAAAAGGATGCAGTAAAACTCGAATCAGCCTACGCTTTCTGGTGAGATTGACCTACGAATCTCCTTATTATGTACTTCCATCCGAAATGAAAGTCTTCACATCAATACAATTTTATAGCTTGAACACAGCAGACAATTAGTAATTGTAACTTTTCTGTTATGTTGTCTACATATTGGAGGGGTTCCAGCTCTCCACGTCTTGATTCATGCACTAGATCCCATGGTGGAATATTTCATTCTTCAACCGCTGTTAAGTGATCAATATTCGCCTGGTGTGTAAAAGAACTAAACAGGGTAGAGAGTGTAATCGCTTAAATCCTTTATCCAACGAAAGCTTATTTAAAGTTTTTAAAGAGAGAAATATTTCTTATCAGATCATAGAGATTAAAGGTTTCCGGACAAGTTTTAATGAGAATGATGCGATTTTGCAATCTCAACTGGGATGCGATGCTCGGGTAAACATACCTATGTATGTCTCACAAAAGAAGCTTAACTGATTTTTAAGTCAAGTGCGAATAAATTGGAAATGGTAGATTTTATCTTATCGGTTCCATTAACATCCTTATCCTTCTTGGTGAGATTGTACTGCATTTCTCAGGGCACGATTCAGACAAGAAGGAATTCCGAATACGAGTATTACATTTTAAGAGGAAGGCACATAAGTATGGTTCTACCTGTTTCCTCGAGTTACGCTTAAATGGGCTACCAGACGGCTCCCATAAATGAATTCCTACTCTCCAGTCAAACGCCTTCTTTCACTAACCTCTTCTCTACAGATATATTTTTCGAGCAAGTTTATGGGAAACAAAGTTATAGAGTGCTCAACCTAAGTTTTTCAAAGATATGAAGACCAAAATGGTGTGGCCCCCGGTATGGTCGCGGTCTCTTTCCGATTTATAGAGGTGGGTTGACCTCATTGTCACAACTTGGTCTTGTTGTCAGGGGGACTTAGTAGAACGCACCTAGTCCGAAGTCGTCTGCCATAGTAGTCGTCATAATTCCCGGCATCAGACAGTGGACTTGGTACATTCTCAAACGATTCGCCGGCATCGTATTCGACATCTTAAGTTGGTGCTGCCATTCTCCGTACCAAGCTACGAACTTGTCAAAGAGACAAGTGAAGTCAACGTTTGAGAATGTAACAAGTCCACTGTCTGATGCTGGGAATTATGATAACTATTATTTCAGAGGACTCCGGACTAGGTGAGTTCTACTAAGTCACCATGACACAAGACCAAGTTGCGACAACAAGGTCAACCCACTTCTTAAGTTTTCAAGATTACACGAGATTTCGAAGCTCTCGCTTTTTAAATAAATGGTCTGGTCTTAAGAGTAGATAAAGATTTAGTAAATATTTATTACAAAGTTAAAGACCAAGATTGTGTGACCTTTAGGTTTTTCACAATCTCCTTTCGATTTTCGGAGTATTTTTGACTATACGTTTACAAATTTTCCTGTTTACGGAGATACTATGATTAACGAATCCTGCCATACAGCTCTGCGCCATCATTGATATGTCAGACTAGGTATTTTTACGGGTTGCAGTTTGGTTCTATTGATGTCAACGATCGTCC